CAGAAGTGCTCGCAGAAGACCATCCCGATCGACTAGCGTCGCAGCACGTGCTCGCCACAGCATACCAGGCCAACGGACAGGTCAAGGAGGCCGTCACGCTACTGGAATATGTGGTTAGAATGAAGCAGAGTGTCTATAGATTCAATCATCCTTCCCGAGTTGTATCTGAGAGTGTCCTGAAATCTTGGCAGGGTGCTGTTTAGCTGTGCTAGCCCTAAATAGATTTCAACTTTTCTGCTGTTCTTCGTTCGCGCTTCAAGCTGTGTCAGTATAGCTTATTGTGAATGCCATATCTTCACTCTTCCGCCTAAAGTGAAAGCGGCAGCTAGATTAATAGCGTAGTACATTGTATCGCCACCGCATGCAGGAACAATAGCCGAACCGCACCGGCTACACCATTGTCATAGATGTGAGGGAGGAAGAGGTTGAAATAGACCTCTAGAGAGGTTAGATCACTTAACGGTATTCACAGGATAGCTCCGACGCGAACCCGGTCGCTTAGGAGGTCTAATCGTGTGACTTTGTCCCCCTTGTTAGGCTCTCCTGGTTTTCCATCTGCATATCCGTATCCTCTATATCTAGGTCATCCTTATTCACGCCCTTATCCTTTTGAAACTAGGTTAGCTGAGTCGTAACCTCTCGCTGGAACCGAGCCTGCCCTTCTCATGTCATTGGTATTGGCCGAGTATCAAAATGGGCTCAAGTCATTTTTTTTAACCGGTTATCGCGGTTCCAAGATGATGCCTCCGGTGGCTTGAGGATTGGTCGACGAGGAGTTCGTTTTATAGGAGGGGAACGCACCTCACCCAGCTCCATTAGTAGTTGTACCTCACCAGCTGTGCTGGCGAGTGTTGCTGTACTCTTCTTCTTTATGCAGAAACCTGGTTTCCAAAGTTGCATAATTCCCCCATTGTCTCTTTGGTTACTGTTACACCTCCGCTGGCAGGTTTTTCATTCTCATTGACCCCACTGGAATTCTCATACTTCTCAGACGAGCTATGGATTTCGCGAACTTTGGTGTCCTTTTTTTGTCCCAAGGTGGTCTTGAACCAGTCCTCGTTCTTTGGGTTAGATGCGTCTACCATCTCAGGGCGAGAGATTGATCATGAAGTTGAATCTGAACTGGTGTATTTGTTCCCAAGCAACGAGATGGAGTAGAATATTGTTGAGGTCTTTGATGCTTGATCATGATGATGGTTAGGGTGATTGAGCTCACTTGAAGCTGCATGGGATGAATTTGAGCTCATTGTTGCTTGGTTGAATTCCCAGAGAAGTTGGAGTGAGGTCCTCATTTGTCGCATTCATTCTTTCCTAATCTGGCAACTCTGTGCCTATTGCTGCTTCCCGAAGTCCCGTCGCAATTCACGTTTGGCAAGGAAATGCTAAACATTGAATTTTCCAACTCCGTACGAACCTCTTGCAACGGCTGGAATATCTAAAGTCTAGTAACATCAGCCACTGCACTATTGCACTACGGCCGTTCCTGGTTTGTACTTGGTAGCAACGTTCTTCATGCTTCCAATGGACTTTTCTACTCCCATTCACAGCATGTTGCCCATAGCTCGCACTATTCCCATATTAGCCGGCAACTCCACGCTCTCCAAGTCTCCTGGGCGAGGAGGTCCTTTTCTGTACTTTAGACGCATCACAGTCGACCCCTTGCATTGTCTTTCATCCACGATGTGCTCTTGGTAAATCCTGGCAGACTCGGGTAACAGAGCATCCAAAGGTAGATCACCTCTTCCTGCTTCCTCTGTGGCGATCTTCCATTCGCAGATTTTAAGAATACTATCCCGAAGCCACATTCCTTCTTGCTCAGGGGCGAGTCTCAGCAGCTCCAACGCTTTCAACCGCAGCCGTAATAGTCGGCATTTGAGCACAATGAAGAATAATGGTGGTATAATTCCCATATCAAAGGATAATGGCGGAGGCTTTTCGCGGCGGTGCTCATGTATGAGTTTCTCGGAAAGTGTCAATATCTGCTCAAAGTCGAGAATATGCTGATCAAAAGACATTTCATCGCTGAGGAGAGTCGTTAGTAACACGGTTACTAGTGTATAGTACACGTGAAGGTACATGAAACTCGGAGTCAAAGACGTGTCTTGATGTACAACTGAGCCTGCCATCAATGCTTCGGTAGCCCCTTTCCACTGCTCAAGTCGTCGGAGATGAGTTAGTTGGATAGCGTCAATGACTGCGTCGTCCATGTCGCTAAACGAAGAGTATCTGTCGTGATCGCGCAGGCCTCTCATATATCCAAAAATGGCATTGTACTCATTGTCCAAACATATTCGAGACTCAAATATGCTTGAGAACGAACGTGGCATCAGCCCTATGGCCTCCATTTCTCTCGTCGACGACGTGGTTACACCAGGGGCCATACTACCGTGGATAGCTGCTTGGACCCTGAGTCTTGTGAAAGAGCGATTCAGCGATCCGTAGATGTCTTCTTTGTCGAACTCGCCACCTTCAGAAGAAATAATTCGGGGGCCCGATTTTCGCAAGTATTGCAAGATCTTCAGCCCACTGTTCAAATGTTGGAATCCCGAGTCCAGATTTTTCTGCAAGAACTCAATCCAAACAAACATCAAGCAAGACACTAAAGCCACCCGAGGATCCTGGTTTTCTGAGGAGAGATAATCAACAAGGCCTTTCACAGCTTTGGTGTACTGCTGCAGCACGTACGCGCTCGTCGAAGCCGTTTTGGCTAGCAGCTGGCCATTGTTTTCATGCACCTCGTATATTGCGCTCAAGGCAATTAAAGATTGCTGCACTGTGGGGAATGCATGGCTGAATTGCAGGAGAATAATATTCCAGAAATACGGTTCGAAGTTACCAGGCATGCTTGAAAGGTTTCGGGACCGAAAGTAATGGAAGCTCCGACGCTCATCCACGCTTGCTTGGATGTCAACCGAGGGAATGTAGGTAGTGACTAAAGCCGACAAGGCTTGTTTCGCTGGAACCGGAACCACGGCTGACTTTTTCAGCCGCTTGGTCTTCCTGGGTGTGGGTTCCTTGGGCGGATTATACCCATCGCATTTTCTCCCTGTGGACACGCACCTCTGACAGGAAGGCTTCTTCTCATCGCATTTAATACGCCGGATTCTTACAAGCATCAGAACCCGAACCTGCCACTCACAGCACTGGAAATCAAACTCACTTGCACGTTATGCATCCCGTTCGAGTTTTGGGTGCCCCTTTTCGGAACTTCGACACCATGTCTCGAGGAAGATTTGGCGAGACACTCGAATTCGACTCACTGATCATCCTTCCGTCTGCTGGCTGGCTTATATTCATTGCAACTGCAGTTGTCAGCGCCACTTCGACTCCGAGACATCGTAGTGTTGGGGACACCCGAGGCATCGCATACCATTACCAGCCTTCCTAAAATCAGATGGTTCAATTCGATTCAAATGCATCTCTGCTGTTGTAACTGAAAATATTCCTACTTCTGGGTCGACTGAAAGTAGTTGATATGAAAGTGTCACGGGATGGACGGAGCTCTACCGGTCTGTGGTCTAGATAAAGCTCATAGTTTAATCGCAGATTTCAAGACCGCCTTAAAGTGCACCATGTAATACGAGGATGCATGCAACGTACTTCATATAGCTTTCTGTCCCCATTGCCGGCACGAAGTTGGACCAAGCGCTCACCGCCAAGATCTCTATTTTCGGCTGCAGTTAAGCTTAAACAGACCCTTGTAATACGAACCGACCAATGGAAGTGCCTAGATCCAAAGCAGGCGTCCGCTTCCGAATCTTCATTCAGCCTTGCTGCGTCGTCCTCCTCTAAGCCTCAGCATGAAAAAAAGACAATCGAACGTTAGAACTGCATGTACGATGGTTCGGGATGTGGATTCCCTGCTTATTGACTTGAGTCGCTTCGGTAATTTGATTTGATGTGATCATGAACGACAGAATGACGCGAAACCGAACGAATCCGAGAACCGTTCTCAACTTTCCTAGCTTTCCGTAGAATTTCCTTGGGTGACGTTCATTCCTTTCGTATTGCAGGGACTATGTCACCGCAATTATGTCTGACATAGTTCTGAGACAATAGCCAATGCGCGTAGACCATAATCAAAGGTCTCAAAGCCGCAAATCTCACAATACAACATAAATATGAAGACTTCTGCAAAGTTGAACTTCTCGCTTGCCTAGGTCTCTAAAATCTTGACCGTCAATCATTTTCTTATATTCGAAAATGCGTTCATTCACTCCGTTCGTCTCGCTCTTGGGGATGATCTTAGTTTCTGCTCACCCAGCACACCAAAACACCATCAGATGGGTGGATTGCTCCAAAAATGTCCCGGAATCAAGCAGCACTTTCAATGCATCAACAATAGATCTCACTTCTCTTCCTCCAAATCTTCACTGTGGCCGACTCGACGTACCGATGGATTATTCCAAGCCTTTCTGCGATGGAAACAAGATCACGCTTGGGCTGGCTATGGTGCGACCTGCGAATCCTAAAGGAGCTTTGTTCTTGTGAGTTCTTTGGATTTGTGATCATAGGTGGTACTGAGATTTTTTTCAGTAATCCAGGAGGAAGTGATGCTGGCGTTGTAGTTGCGTGGGACGTCGCGCTAAATCTGACGCATGCTTTTGATGGGCTTGAAGACTTCGATCTGTTAGGTGAGGTCTCGCCTTTTATACTCCGTGCCGGTAATCACGCTAACCGCCAAGCTACAGTTCTGGATGTGAGGGGAACTTTTAGTTCGAATCCTTTGAACGTTTCGTTAGAAACTTTTGCTGGCATGAGTGGTCCATTGTGAGTCTTCCTCACAAATATTACTAGCCCTCTCGGGGTGTCTAAAAGTTGTTTAGCCCTACAAATCAAACGGAATTCGATATCGCCAAGAATGCATCTGCGACAATTATCCAATCGTGGATTGATAATAGCTCACCACCGGGTATCGTTGAACACGTTGGGACGAGGGAGGTGGTGCAAGACTATGAGAGCGTCCGAAGAGCTCTTGGCTATGATAGGATTAATTTCCTTGGGGGTTCACAGTGAGTATCTATCTTCTTTAGATACATCTGTCTGATAGAAAGAAGGGGTGGGCATCGAGCGGCTCAATACGCGGTAGCATTTCCTGATCGAGTGGGGAATTTTGTATTGGACTCAGCGGCCCCGCACGGACTTGTGAGCAGAAATACTTACTCGAAAACGGATGATTAACTAATAAGTGTAGCCAATCTATGACCAAGCGCAGGATCAAGTATTGGGAATGAATCGACTCATGCTTCGTGCGGATGCATACTGCCAAAACAACGCTTCATGTCCTTTCCACTCCCAGGGAAAAGGCAGTGTCCCTAAGGTCGGTCCCACCACCCGTTCCCCAATTTCTAATAGCCAATTCATAACACTTCTGTTAGGCATTCCATCAAATAATCGAAACAGCAAAACAATCCCCCTACTTCATCCCCGCCTGCGCGAACAGCACAACCTGCTCTCCATACATCACAGATCTCGACATCAGAAACGGAATGCTAGCGGCTTTGATCGTATCGCCTGACTTCCCAGTGATTCTGGAAGCAATAAATAGCACCTTGGCGGGCGATGCAAGTGCGTTTGTTAGTCCGCCTCTAACTCTTGGGGGTGTAGTTGCTATACCACTGCTTTGTAATGATTACAGTAAATTATATATAGGACTTTACTAGGAGGAAAATGCTGATGGGATGCTAGACTATCCAAGGACATTTGAGGAATTTCAGAAATCTTTAGACGATGGACTTAAGGTAAGACAAAGTCATACCCATGACGAGCGAAGGTGCTAATTACTTGACTAGAAAGACACTTCTGGCATTGGCCTCACTTTAGTTTGGCAAATTCAAGTATATTATCTACAGTCATTTTCGGTTGCAGCTTGCTTACTCCCACAAGCTTTACTGTTCCGCATGGCCCTTCGAAGTCCCAAAGCAGGAGCCTACAACTACGAATCAGTCCATGCTAATGGTCACCGCTGATTTTGATGGAAGGTAAAATCATAACTCCACCTTCTCACCACCTTCTTCATCAATCTAACAACTTTACAGCACACCAATCGAATGGGCAACCTTCTCCTGGAACACAGCACCAAAGTCGGTCCTAGTGGTTAGACACGGTGACGGCCACGTCTCATTTCCTCGTACGTACATCTTCCACTCCCCCCATCCTTATCATTAACATAACCTCTGGCCCCAAAGTGACCGATCAACCCTCCACAAAAATAACGAAAGATTTTCTCAACACTGGAATTCTACCATCAGCGCAGAACTCAACTCAGGTCACAGTGTATACGCCTGGCATGAAATTTGCGGGGATCTCAGATCCGTATGATGTCCCTACAGGGCCGGAGGCGGGCGATGTAGATAGTGGGGTGGTTGTGCAGGTTCCATTTTAAGTGAGCATGTGTGTTTGAGGGCAATTTTGGCTCCGAGATGGCGGCTATTGATGTTTATCATGGGTAGAGGATGAAGTGCTATTGATAGTCGCTCGTTAAATTCAGGATATCATTCTCTCAATGAAACTCAATCATTTGAATAACTTAACATAACGTGGAAAGTAAGGAAACCTATTCTGCAACGTGAGGCTTCGTTTAAGAAACTCGAGCTATTGCTTCGGAGTCTCCAATCCTCTAACTTCTTCCTCATATAGGAGCGATGCCCCTATCTTGCGTCTTGAGAAAGGTTGAGTGGGAGTTCTGGCCTGTGCACTTTCTCGATCTAGTGGGGTATTTCTTCCGTGGCGGCTACGAAGCCGCCGTTGATGAGATTTGCGAATTTAGGCATGTCCTAAGTTTGGTGTTGACTGGGGACTATTAAATTGAAGAAGCCGGCTCATGAGGATACTGACTATTGTTTGGCAGGGAACCGTAATGACTGTAACTAGGAATAACAACCTAATATTTTGTTTCTGGTTTCATGGAGGACTTTTAGACTGGGATTGTACTTTAGATCCAAGATCAAAAATGCAGAAGCCGCACAAAAAGAAAAACCTCTAGACCAAGGTGCCTGGGTTATATTGTTATAAGTTTTGGACACTAATTGCGACGCAGCATCTCCTCAAAGAAGGCCGGCAAGGTCACGAAAGTGCACCCGCTGTTCTATTAAACTCCCAAGACCCGTTCAACATGTTTTAGGAACAAGCAAATCTATTGAGTGTAAAAGCCGCGAGTAACTCCACCTCTAGCTGCAGCCTTATCTTCTAGATATTCTACTTATCTCCGCCACTAACTAACTCGCCAACTCCTCCCTTAATACATCCCTTACATCCTTCTCTTTGTCTCCCCTACAATCCTCTTGCCACTGTCCTTTCTTAATCGTTTATGCGTAAGAGGCTTGCATACCTGTGTATATAGTTGGCTAGTTTCAGACATCATTAGCAACGCAGAATCTCTCTAACGTCAGCCAGCTAGGACCCAAAACGGGCCAGATGCTCCTTGAAGTCACCAAAAGTCTGGCTAGGGCGATTTTAGAATAGCAGGGAGCAGAGACGACGCAAGCTGTGCAAGGATATATTTATGGGTCTGCCTATGCATGTGATCTATCAAGTTGCTCTGACACAGACTCAGAGAGCGAAATATTTGCAATTCAGCCCGGCAAGTCTTTAATATTGTGCTGCCTGTTCTCTTAACCTACCATGAACGCACTTGACGAGTTTTTATAACAGTAGGTACAGTGATGATGAAACCACGCTTAGGGAGATGATTCCGCGGCTACTTGTGTAGGAGATTAGGCTCCTTTGACACAAGACTAGAAGCCTAAGGCCCTCCAATCAAGCCTTATAAGTCTCCCAAAGAAGGCTTTCCATTCAAGTAAAACTACAAGAGGCCATTTAAGGCGCTGAAAAGGAGTATAAAGAGAGCCTAGTTACTTTTTGCTAAGAAGTGGGCGCTAGGAGGACTGTATTTATCTGTAGTGAATTGCAATTGAGTATTCTGCTCTTTTGGAGGTCATTAATTACACGCCGAAAGAGTCCTTATCACTATATCTCAGACTAGAAAGGGAGTAAGTAGGCACGGAAGGCGTTGAAGAGTATCTTAAAGCTTCAAGAGTCAATTCAAATCCTAAAAAAAAAAAATTAGTAGCCACTCAAATTCTGTCGAGAAGTAGGTAGCATGGATTCATAATTCGTGAAGTATCTGTGAAGAGGGTACCTAGTCCAAGCAGGCCAACCCTATCCTAACCGTAACAACATAAGAGACTCAAGTTGATTACATGTCCGATGTTCACCGGAACCCCTTAAAAGCTCCCCATATCCTCTCATCCCACACTCTATACCCACAAGCCGGACATCTAAATGCCAGCGATTTTCATAGCAGCCTCAGTCAAGGCCAGAATGCGATCCTCTAAGTCTACACCCTCCCTCTCTCCAGCACGCTCTGCGATCGCCATCATCTGCTTAGCCAGGACCGGGAAGCTCTTCTCCATGCGGACTAGAGCATGAATAGCCTTAACACCACCTTTAGTCTTAGCAAGGTCCCTCAAATACCCATACGCGCGTTCACCCTCCTGGAGTTGCGCAAGAGCATCATTTGCTAACTGGGTCTGAGCTGCGAGCTGATGCTCCAATTCAGCAACACGGGCTTGAGATTCAGCAACCTGACGACGCAGTGCACCCTCGCGTGTCTCGCCGACACCGACATCGTACTCGCACGTGAGACCGCGGCCGGCACAGCGGTTGCAGGTGGGACGAGTGCCGTCGCATGCGATCTTGCGGGAACGGCAGGAGAGACAGGCAGCGGGGACTTGGGAGCGCTTACTTTTGGCGGGAGCGGAGATGATGACGTCGTCGGAAGAGGAACCAAATGGAGGAGTGAGGCGGAGCTTGAACTTGAGCTTGACGGCTTTGGCGGCCTTCTCGGTAGCAGAAGTGGACTTGTCGATGATGGACTTCTTGATGATGCCGGCGGGTTTGGGCTTGAGGACAGAAGACTTCTCGTCGATGGCAGGAACGTTCTTGGTTCCTGGCTTCTCCTTGACGGTGGATTTCTCCTGGGAGGTAGACTTCTTAGTGGTGGTGGCATTAGCAGTAGACTCATTGCCATTGTTGCCGTTGTTGAAGTCAGTGACATCAGGGGAGTTCTCACGAAACAGGGCCGGGGAGGTGGCCTTGGAGGCAGGCCTGTGAGAAGAAGTACGGGTGGTACGCTTAGCAGCCATGGAGATGAGATAGATAATATAAGGAAGTCGAAAATATACCGTAGAGTGTGGTGGAGATAACAGGTAATGCTCTTAAGACGTATAACTAGACGTCGGGAGCAGGCGATGTAGGAAGAAGACGAGACGAAAGTCGGTACTTTGATACGTTAAGGAGTTACAAGATAGTAAGAAGATGTGATGACAGCGGGTGGCTCGCAGAGATGAATGGAATCGAAGCGGCGATGATCCCGGGGCAGGATAGGTGCTCAGCACTGGAACAAGAGGTGATGATAGTAGCAGGAGCTGGAACAGCTAAATAAAGTTGTAGCAGGATAGCTCTCAGAGCAAAAAGATAGTGCCAGCACTGGATGAATTGAAGCAGGACTTGTAAAACCGGAAGCTGGAAGGAGGTCGAACAAAGATCGCAGATTCTAAGAAGAAAAGAAGATGTGAACGAGACTGAGTGATAAGAAGTAGAGATGGAGATGGGTAGGTATTTGTGGTCGAGACCCTCTAGCCCCATCAACAATAGCAAGAGGACTTATTGTAGCACAAATTCGGGGGCAAGGCCGGGAGATTTTCGGGGAGGTCTGGGATCTTTGGGCCATTTTTCCTTTTTTAGGACTGGTGAAGGTAGCCATGGTGTTGAGGTTGTGGAGGCTCTTTTTAAGGCTCAGAACACTAATGGCAAAATTTCGACCATGCCAACGGAAATTCGTAACACCGATTCTTGACGGGAAAGAGTACATTCAGATATAAACGTGTATCAGGTGTGAGGTACTTTGATCAAGGGAATATTGGGATATCCTACCTTGAATGCTAGAAATCTACATCTTCAAGAAATCTCGGCCACAACTCTCTCACTGTGGCAGCAGTACCACATGCGGGCGCTATTGGGCTGAAGCGTTTCAGGTGAGTGGGGCCAGGGTTCGTGCGTCGAACAAAAAAACGCCGCTGTTAAGGTTTAGTAGACAGTAATTTTAAATAATGAGGTGAACAAGCCTCACCGAGTGAAAGTGGGAGGGTGAATGCAGAGAATGTAGCAGGGGCGCCTGCGAGCAGCACCATACTCCCCTCAAAGGTTGCAAGCAAAATTGCTCTTCAATCTCGCAGAACGAGAGGTAGATAATGGTGGAGGCGCATCACAAGATCTCTCACGTGATGCGACCCCTAACAGGCAGCGGAAGACTGAGCCTTCTCGAAGAATCCGAAGGGGGAGAGAGTGGTGGGGAGTGGGAAGAATCGAGGTACGAAGCAAGTAGGCTTAAGTAGCCTATATTTAGGGAACTGGAAGTCTACGAAACACACAGGCGGTGAGCAGGAGCTTGACTTGTTGCTGTGGACATTTGCTCAATGGGCTATAACTGAATAGAGATTGCTTGATCGCCTTCCTCTGCAGATTAACCTATGCTATTAGCATAGAACTGCTTAGAAGTATGACGTTAAAAATTAATACGAATATTGAGGGGTGTAAACGCTCGTGAGGGTTGTACTGACTGTATACTGCGATACTACTTAGGACAGTACAACTAGAGCATCATTATCCTGATTCATAACCCCCCTTTAAATTTTCGCAGGGATTGGACAAGACAAGAGGGATGAAGTGAAGCATCGCATCGCAGAAGTTAAGGAACAGATAGAGAAGAGATTCTTCTTGATCAGCAACTTATGCTGCTTCTTAGACTATACCTATTCGGTCCGGCCTACTTGCATGTGAAGTTGTGCGCGCTAGTCCCCTACCTAACTAGATTTAATCCGTCAACCAGAGCTTGAACCAGCTCAAAGCTATCGATCTAGCTCTCCAAGTCGTAGAGCAGACACCCACCGGTCCTGAAGTTATACACGAATGCCTTCCCACCTTCACCGCTCCGTCCAGCCCCATCAGCACTGACCTCCTTCCAATTCGCGGCATAATTCAGGAGCAGATCATGCAAGTCTTGCAGATACTTCCGGTCTCCAAGTGGTAAGCTTTGAATGGCCTTTCTCCAGCCATCAGGATCGCTCAGCCTAGTCTCACGAATTAAATTCATGACCTCATCTTTAGTCTCGATGGCAGCTATTGGCGCATTCTCAAATGACGACAACAGTTCCGCTGAACGCGTTTGTGCGGCCTCGACAATGCTCCATTTATTGGTCTTCTTGGAGCGATGTTGCGAGATGAGAACGTCGACGTTTGCCTTCGAAGCGGAGGGAGCGGTTGAAGAAGGTGGAGGTGCAACCCTGGACAAACGCTGTGCTGCGGTACCCTCTCGCAGCTCTCGATCGCGAAGTTCGTTGCGGAGGTAACCGAGTAGATCTGCAGTACGCAGATCAGTATCCTCTTTCTTCCCAATGCTCTTCACTTTGAGATCTGGCTTGTCGCTTGCAACCCCATGTTTAATAACAATGACCCAGCTGTGTCTCTCGTCACGGTAGTGTCTAAGAAGATCCTCAATCGAATGAGCATCAATGGCCAGTTCAGCTGTGTAGCCATGAGCAATGAGCTCTGCGACCATCTTTACTCCGGTCGATCTCAGTACTGCAGGATCTAAGCTTGCAATGAGACAGTCACATCGTCGAGGCATCCATGAGGCAGCCGGGCTACCCTCTTCAGCTTGCTTCTTGAGAAAAGTTGACTTCTCTGGCTTCTTCAAATACCGTGCCATTGAATTCACGAGCCGGTCCCAACCGAGGTTCATGCCAACACCGTGGTATCCCACAGTAGGGCTGCCTTGACCTAGCCCTTTCGATCGATACTCTTCGATCAGCTTATCGTATCGTCCGCCAGCTGCAAGAACCTCTCGCTGTTTGGTGTCAAAAAGGCACTGGAACAAGATCCCACCGGAGTAGAACTTTTCGTTGAAGCTGCTTAGTGGACTGACGTAGATTTTGCGCTTAATGTTCCAGTGCTTCATGTAGCTGACTACCGAGCTCAAGTGTGCAAAGATCGCATGAGTTTTATCGAAGTATTTGGTTCCTTGGAAAGTACGTCGTAATTTCGAGAATGCTCTCTCAGGGGTGTCTCTCCAATCAAACAGGGCAAGGTCATCTAAAGAGGTCGATGATACCCCGACGGCCGGGGCTCGTAGCTCGTTTCGTATATTCTGCCAATTGAGCTTCGCTATGTTTAGCTTGCTCAACACTTCTTTCACCGCTGGCCGCTGTGGGATGTTGATTCTGCAGAAGTCCATCACCATCTCTAAGATGTCGGCATGGTTCAAGTGGAAGCACATCTGCGTTGACGCGAGAGACGGAAAGTCATCGACAACCTCATCGATTACTTTTAGGACCTCAGCCTCCTTCAGGGCAAGATCCAAGGTATCGTATGATAAGATGTCAAAATCGGCCTCCCCGTTGCTCCGCGGCGCTCCCCCGGTGTAGCTGTCGCGGTAGACGGACCCGATTGTAAAAGTCTTCTCAATGAACGGCGCGCCTCTTCCGACACTTCTCGCGTAGGGCAGAGTCAGATCGTATGGTAGCTGCACAAGAGTACCTGAAGGGTCGAACAGTTTTACAACGTTGTTATTCGTATAGTGGTCTGACCAAGGTAACAACAGCTGGCGCTGTATCTCCACTGCCCCATGTGCCCGGAAAATTACGGCTAGACGATCTTTGACAAGACTCTGCAGCATCACATCGTTGGCTTTAATGCTATGAGAACCCGCGCCAACCCCCATATCCCAAGCAAAGTCCTTCACCTGCGTATCGGGGTTCTGCGAGAATATAGCAGCCATCATTTTGGTGTAGTGTGGCGAATTACGGTCTGACAGAGCTTTTAGCGCTTCTTTAACAGCTTCGTCCTCGATCTGGATGGGGACCTTGCCGCTTCGAAGGAGCTCTGCGCAGCTCGGCCTCTCACTTGGTTTATGGCTGATAAGAGATGTAATGATGCTTCCTTGGAGGGACTTTTCGGGTGTTTCGAAATCACTAGGCAATGCATGTTTTCTCTCACGGAGTTGGCGAATGACCTGGTCCCGTTCCATGGCCGTCTTCAGAGGATAACACATCTCGAAGAAGATAATGCCCATCGAGTACATGTCAACTTTGTCGGTATAGGTACCGGTGACGTCAGAGCGCAGCTCTGGAGCAACGTAGAGAGCCGTACCGATACTACGAGTCATGTCTCCGTCTGCATTACTGTCCGATGGCCCCTTGTCTGTCCTCTGGTATTGACCGCTCGTGGCAAGGCCAAAGTCTCCTATTTTGGGGGTTTTTGCCACGTCAATGAAGATGTTGTCCGGCTTTAGGTCACGATGAATGATTCCGTGACTGTGAACATGAGCAAGGCCCTCCAGAACCTGCCGTAATAGCCTCCAGCACTCTTCGGGGTCGTCGTATAAATCCCTTCGTATGAGATCGCGGAGGGTTTGCTTTTCACAAAACTCCATTTGAATGTACAGGGTTGTTTTTACCGGACGAGCAGGGCGTGAGCTGGAGACCCTATGTTTGAGTTTTACCGGAGACTGGGGATCAGCAGGACCCGATGCTTCGGCGTCGTCATCTATAACCTTCTATGAGCAGGCTGTCACATAACGGTTAAGTCAGGAGGCAACTCACCAGACTCAGAAGCGAAGACAACTGCACCGTCATCATCCTCATCCGACTCTTCATCGGTGCCGAACTCGATCTTTGGATATCCACTGGAACTGATGAAGTCCAACCCGCCAGTATTCCTCCCGAAGGCGTCACCGCCAGCGTCTCTATGTGAGACATCGGGACCCGAACTAGAGCCCTCCACGGTCACAGTCGCAGATGTTTCCTCCTCATTCTCTGAAACTCCAGATATCTCTTCTTCCGGCCAGGCAGTGTAGTACCGTACAACACACGGGTGATTGAGACGAGAAAGTAGCATGACCTCAGACAAAACCTCCGTGAGTGCTGAAGCGGACTTCTGTTTGATTTTCTTTATCGCATAAATGCGGCCGTCGGTCTTGTTGCGGGCTTTGACAACTTCGCCGTACCCACCTTTACCAAGTCGGCCTGCTTCCACCCATTCACTCGCGTACCGTGAGAAAGGTCCACCAACTCCGGCGGAAGACTCGCGCCGGAGACGGTTGATTGGAAGGGAAGTGGACGACAACCTTGAGCGTACAGGCCATGGGGCATGTTCGTAAATAGGCACATCGTCCCTCAGAAACTCGCATGGGATAAGGTCAAATGCAGAAGGCCGCTTCTTTGGATCGGGCTTGAAGAATCTACGCATAATCTCCTGTAAAGGCTCAGTTAATTGAAGAGAATCCGAGAGTTCCTTGGGAGAATTGTATTTTTGTGGTGCCTCAAGACCGAACAGCATCTGGTTGAAGACAACACCGAGGTCCCATACATCTGTCTTCCTTGTTCGCCGGGCGTCCTGAGCTAGCTCGGCCGGGACCCAAAAGGCCGATCTAGATGTTGTAAAATATTGGTTCCCCAGACATAAGTCTCTCAGATGGTGAAGACTGTCTTGAAAACCGGCATCGGAAAGTTTCACGGAGATACCACTATTGGGGGCCTTGTAGAGAAGGATGTTGTTTGGGTGGATTCTCTTGTGAACCACGCCGTTGCGATGGTAGAAATCCAGCGCTTCAAGGAGATCGATGGTCCAGGATCTCACTTTCGCAACATCGATCTCGCCATCATCCTCGAGCTTTTCGCCGAGGGAGCCCTTGTTTGCCAAGTCCATTAGAATGTTGATTTCCCACCCAGAATTGTTAGCCGGCTCTATCTTGAAGTCAAGGATACTCATTATGTTGGGCTGGCGCAAGCGTTTTAAGTCCTCTACTTCCTCTTCGAAGTCCATAATGACCTTCTTGAGCTGTGCGCTACCTGAAGGCTTCGAACTACTAACATGGATGCGTTTCAATACGAGGGTAATTGCGTTTGGGCTTCCAGCGGGCTTCACTAGGAGCTGCTCTGTCACGGGTCCCGTACGGAACGGAAGTAGGCCGTCGACGGCAGAACATTCAATGGTCCGGCCTTCGTTCTCAAGTACGATCATCCTGTCGAAAGATACTTGGTTGACGATATGCCCATCAGGGAAGTATGAAGGAGCCGGTGTTTGACCGGTAGCTCGAGTTTTCTTCTTTGCTACAATCTCTTTGCGCCTCATTTCGTCGTTAACCATCTGCTGTAGAACCCGCTCTTCCTCGGCTTTCTCTTCATTTCGTTTCTTCTGGAGTTCCTCTTCGTGTTGCTTCGCAATTTGGGCAGCGACAGCTTCGTGGACGGCTCGCTCTTCCCCGAGGTTGACAAATGTGCTATCATTGTCACGAAAGGCCACCTCGTCTTCGAGAATATCCTGGATGGAGGTGGCTATTTCATGTATCATGACCTCCCCGACGAGCTCTTTTGGCTTCGTCTTGAGAAGACTTTCAAGCCTCTGTCGTGTCTTCAGACGAAGATGCTCAGTATCCTTGAGTGACAGTGTAGGCAATGACTTAGGATAGGTAGCAGTAAGCTTTGCAGACAGTGTGACGGATATATCGTCACTCGAGAAAGCCTTCAGTTTCAAACGCAACGCGCGGTCGGTCGTTTTCTAAGATGTATCTTAGCAACTACTTTGTAGCGAGTGTGACTCATCATGTAAGCGGCAGAGAAGGGTCGCAACTTGGATGAAATAATAGACCAACAGCCATTCAAAACTGGGGAAACAAGGCCAATACGTACACTCCAAGCTCCCCTAACCTCCACCTCTTCAAAGTCCTCCATGAAAACAGCTTTCAGGACTTCGACTTCGTCTTCCTGGGCCTGCTCATTGTTATCGACATGCTGGGACAGCGCAGGCTGCTTTCCGGGCTTGTTCTCCTTAGCGAGAGACTTTGCAGGAGACTTTCCCAGGGCATCTGAGCTATTCTTCTGTGATGGTGCATTAGTTACAATCTTATTCCAAGCAGTCTTTGGCGGTGCCATGTTGGGCTGTGTCGTGGGTGATTAGCATGCCAACTGTGATGAGAGTTGACAAGGAGACACGCAGCCGAAGCTGCAGTCGGTCACACTGCAGACATTTTATTTACGTTGCAAGTGAAAGTGAATAGATTTTGGTGGTGGTGGTGGTGGTGGTGGTGGTGATCATCACCAAGCCTTTCACTGCCACCAGCATGGTTCGCCGCTCAGTCATTAGTAAAGGTGCATATAGCGATCCGTGCGACAGTGAGCTTGGCAGTCGCGTCCACCATCAGCTCGACTTCCTAAGTGACGTTATTGTCAAGAGCTCACCACATCGTAATAGTACCTTCTTGGCCTTTCTAATCGGTAAGTTGTTCAATCGCGCAATTGCATGGCGACCGTTGGAGGGAGCTACATTTCACAATTCTTGCCTGCATTCCGGTGGCCCTGCTATCGGTTTTGAGGGTAAACAAACCACCAAAACAAGACCGCCTCCACACCACACCTCGTGAACAGCCTCGCCTAAACGGCAATTGGGTTTTGAGGGCCTTCCAATCGCTTCTATAGCCGGCAACGGCCCTACAGGCCACAATGTTTTCGTGGATTACGGGCCCGCGGATAACCAACGTCATGGAGGACCTTCAGACAGGTAAGGCATTTTCCTTCCGTGGAACGTGAAGCTGACCGGAACAGATCCTGCCTACGACACAACATTCATTGAGCCTCCGGAGACTCCAGCACATCAGTTCGTCGCGAAGGCTTTCAAGCAGGCCATCTTTGGAACCCCTGCTGCCGAGGAAGCGACCATGGGCAAGAAGCTCGAGAAAAAGAAGAAGATAGATGCAGCCAATGCTAAAACAGCGGAAATACCTGCCCCGAAAGAGGATGTGCTCTTCTCATCACCCTCGAAACAGCCCAACGGCATTCTCATGACCCCCGGCACTGCTGCGAAAGGACGAAAGACAGTCTCCTTTGGAGCACATGTGGTCGACAATGAGGGCAAACGGGCAAATGCAGGGAAAAATGGGATCCCGAATGACTGCCCTGGAAAGTTCCCGAGCCCCTGGACCCCAGGAACTGAGCTCAAGGAGGATGCGGACATCGACAAAAAGCCCCACACTAAGCTCACCGCTGCTCTTTACGAAGCGCGAACAACCACACAAACCAAAACTGGTCAGAAACCTAAAGCCAAGGATGACAGTGATATCACGATAGACCTAGGTGCGCCGCGTTCAGAATCGGGCAAATATTGGAAAGAGCAGTATGAGTCATACGCCGAAAAGAGTGAGAAGGAGATGCGAAAGCTTGTCACGAAACAGCAGATGGCTAAGAGCTTTGCAAAGAAGAAAGATGGTGAGGTGAACGAGCTAGCTACGCGACTCACCGAGGAGCGAAAACGATTTAGGACCAGGGAGCGAGAGCTGGAAGACCAGAACAAGGACTATCAAGAGCGCCTGCGACAAGCCATGGCGGAGAATGCTCGCGCGAGCATGGAGATCGCCGCCCTTAAGAGCCGCATAACGGCATTAGAGAAGTCCTTCACGGTGGCGTCTTCAGACGTTCAAGAGAGTAAAGTGTCCTTCCAAATCTTCGAAGATTCGAGCAGGGATTCTAGCCGTCTTCACTTAGAGCAGAAAAAGGCTTCTGAGCCCCGCTCTCGCCATGCCGTCGAACCTCCGACCATCACCTTAGCTAAGCCGGTCTATTCCGCCCGCTTGCTACCAGAAGACAAGGAGAACTCACCACCGAAGGCTCGTCGAACCCGCCGGCAGTCAATACCAGATGCGTCCTCGCACCCAATGATATCAAATTCAACAGCATCAAACACTGCTCAAGACTCCGCCTATCCTTTCATACCCGCCAAATCCTCTATGACCTCTTCACGACCCGAAGAACCACCTTCAAAGACGACGCTTACTCCTCGACAAATCGACCTTCCTCAGAAGGCTACCCTAAGCGTCCGTCAACCGCAACTGAACAAGGAGAACATTCCGACGAAATCCGCGGCCATTCCCCAGTCGAGCCCATTGCCATTGCCTTCCCCCGACCCATGGATGCAGCCGGACTTTTCTAGCTCCTTCCAAAATAGCCCGCTTCCGCAGATGGATAGGATGGCCTTGCCAATCTCAAGTGGGCACTCATATTCCCGACCTGAGAAACCCCTCCACTCGAGTAAGCTGATGCACTCGCGCACTTCAAAGTCTGTTTCTATCTCTCGAAACGACAACCTTAGTGCGCGAGACGCCACTAGCCATCGTGTTGAGAAGCCTGCGCCCCGGGACGCAGTGCGCGAAGCACCTAAGTCAAGTAAACATGCCGCTGAGAAATCAGCTCCTCAGGATGCCAAGTTCGATGTTTCGAAGAATGGGGCACATCATATGGAGGGTTCTTCACTTGTGGCAAAGAATAGGGTGGCGCTACCGGTAGACCGAAAGGAACAAGCTAGGAGGAGGCTGGAGGAGAGGAAGCAGAGGAGAATGGCTTCATGATCTGTCTCGTTCTTCATCTTCTTGGGAGTTTTGCGGCTCGTGGTGTTAGTATCCACTATTCTGTCGAGAATTGCTGGATGGTGTTCGCTCTCAATGTGGATGGGCGATGGTGTTCTTGGGCTTTTTGGGAAGCATTATATCCACTTGGAGTGTGTATCTTTATCCAGCGCTCTCACCACTTGGGTGTGACAATTGCAATGGTTTTTCGCCAGGCCTAGTCTGCCCAAATCTTATTTCTCGTGCCTATATTGCAATGGGCTTAATTGTCAAGACGCACCAATTCAGGCCGAAGACAGGACTAGTATTGAGGTATTAGGGTTCTGAGTGGTATTATCTATTGGGTATCACTGAGACATGTTTAAGTCTCTTACAATACTATACAATATCCTACAAACTCTTGTCAAGATTGCTTCGGGAGGGGAAGTCTGTCACTATTTCCAACTCTTCCAAACTCCTCAAAATTCGATGCTCTGTACCAACTCTGTCATACACAACCTAACGCGACCCAACTGAACTCATATGCTCAGACTTTTATCCTCCCCTCACTAATCAACCTCAACTGCCCCATAACTGGCCCCGCGGCCCTCTCCAATGCCTTCTCCTCCTTATACCCCATCCTCCTTAGCACATACTCCGCCACAACCTTTGAATCCCTACTCTCTGGTCTTCCAATCCCCACCGTCACCCGCCAAAACTTCACGCCCTGCAAATGCTCTTGACAACTCTTCACGCCATTATGTCCCCTTGCACTACTGCTCCCATCCCGTGTCTTCACTTCCCCCAATGGACTTTCCAACTCATCATGCAACACCACCAACCTAGGTTCTCGCCCCTGTCCCTCCATCTCCCGCCGATACTTATCCCATGCTTTCCGCACGCTGCGGCCGCACACGTTCATGAGTGTTTGCGACTGCCAGAACACGAAGTTGTCCTCGGGCTCCACATCTGAGGATTTTTGGAACCCTTTGATTATGTGGAAGGAATCGAAACGCTCGGATTTGGGACGTGCGGTTAGGCCTGATAGTTCTAATTTGAAGGAGTTGTAGGGCTTGCGCGCGTGGAGGTAGGTGAGAAGGTAGTGGCCAGTGGAATGGAGGGTATTTTTGTAGGCGGGACCGGGGTTGCCGAGGGAGCAGACTAGGAGGGGGTGGTTGAGGGCCGGCGGTGGCATTGTGGAGAGCGATCTAGGTATCGAGATCGAAGTAGAGGGTTGTGTGCGGTTTAGTGTGCGGTTCTTAGGCGGGTCGTTTGGAGGAGTGGCGTTGCTGGATGCTGTAGAAATCGGGGAATTGGATTGTGCAGGGGAGTCGATTAGGTCTCTTTGTTTCTTCAGTTTTCGCTTCTCCCTCCGACTCAAGGGCGGTGCGACTTCAATCGTGAATTCATCGTGCTCATCTGTCGCAGTAAATTTCTCGGCTGAGGCATCGGGATCTTCAAGGATGGAGCCGGGGCTGCTCCGGATCGGCACAGGCCCGCTGCCGGCCACGTGCGCACGTGTATGCGTGTTCACCATTTTTGTAGTGGGTGCGAAACCAATGAATGTTAGTGAGGGATATTGGGAAGACAGTGTAGGCGGCTTTTGTTATATGAGCTCTCCTTTGCCTATTGTTTGATACCTGATGACTGTGCTGTTCCTTAGTTCAACTGTGAAGCGCACAGCCACAGCAAGAGTCATATCTGTATTTGTCATGGCGGTGCATTGGAGAACTGCCGACGTTGGCTTTCGCTGTTCGTGCAGTGAATCCCATCTATGACATAAGATTTAGGCGTGAAAGTGAGCCTTTGCGAGGATAACTTCAAAGAAAGGGCGGAGATCCGAAGGCGGAAATAAGGCTGAACGAATTGGAGGTCTGGGCGCGCATCACCATCTCGCTCGCGACTTACACTGAGCGTTCCGTATCAAAAAATCCGATAGCTCACATCCGGCTTTGGACGCATACGCTTTGGAACGTCTTTGGACTTTCGTCCCCTTTTTAATTCCTGCTCTTTCCATCTTCTATCTCTCAATCTGCTCCTGTCTTCTCCGTCCACATCCTCTACAATGGCAGACCGACCCTCAACGCCACCACAGGCAACCCGCTCCTCTGGCAGACTCCCCCCAAACCCGCTCACCCCGGAGCAAATTCGAAGAATGGTACTACCTCCACAACTCCTCATATCACCATCTCATACTAATCCAACTCAGGAAGAAGCCCGCCTAAAAGCCAAAGCCCTCGCGCAATCCACCACCACCAAAATGACAACCCCGACCGCCCCCCAGCCCGTCCCAGTCTCCGGCACGAAACGTCCCTACTCCTCTCTAGCTCCCTCCTCTGTCCCTAAAACCTCCCGCATCGTATCCACCAGCACTAACACCGGAATGACACAACCGCCTTCCAATGACTTCATCCAGCCGGCCAAAAACTTCGGCCGCTCCGAGTACATCGAATATGACTTTTCTAAAATGACGGACACGAAGGGTGGGTTTTTGAGTACGATCGATGATCCACATAACAAGGCCATGTGGAGTGGGCGCGGGAAAGAAGAGGAGCAGAAGCCCGAGGGAATGACGCTTGCGGAGTGGGAGCGCGAGCGTGTTCGGCGGAAGTTAAGGGAGAATAGGGCCGGGGTGTATGAGCCTGGTATCTCCATCCTAAACGCAGACGATGGACGAGAAGACGAATTAGCCGAGGGTACTGCTTCAGGAGAAGAGTTCAAGGGCAAATACAACGACGGACTCCGCGATATTCCCGGCAAATGTCGCGAATGCAGGAGTTTAGAAGTGGACTGGAAATGGGCCGATGTCTTCTCGATATCCATCTGCGCCGCCTGTCGCGAAAAATACCCAGACAAGTACTCACTGCTTACTAAAACGGAAGCCCGTGAAGACTACCTCTTAACTGATCCGGAGCTCAAAGATGAAGAACTCTTGCCCCATCTCGAGCGCCCAAATCCCCACAAAACAAACTGGAATAACATGCAGCTATTCCTACGTCTGCAAGTCGAAGCCTACGCCTTCTCGCCTAAGAAGTGGGGATCGCCGGAAGCTTTAGACGCTGAGTATGAGAAAAGACAGGGCATTGCGAAAGCCAGGAAGGAGAAGAAATTTAAGAACAAGCTCGAGGATTTGAAGAAAAGGACGAGGGTGGAGGCGTATAAACGCGCGAAGTTAGGGGGGCAGGGAGAAGGAGCGAATTTTGGTGATCGGATTAAGGGATGGGGGGATAGACATGTGCATGAGTGGGGGAGGAGTGTGTTGGATCCGGAAACGGGCATGATGAGGAAGAGGTGTGAAGAGTGTGGGATGGAGGTTGAGGAGTTGGAGTTTTAATACCCGTTCATGTGATGAGAGACGACGCAATGTATATCAGGATGATAGCCAATAGGGAATACCACCCATACTCCCAAACCCTCGACACTAGTCGTGTCTTCATTCTGAACTGATGGGTGTGCTGAAGTAATCCTCATGCGACATTCCAATTCTCATCTTTGCGTATATCTTGTGTGAACTTCTATCCATAATATCTCACACTCTACGAATATTTCCGCCATCTAGGTCTTATTAAACACAAAAACGCAAACAACTTCCCAAATTTAGCCAAATTCCTCCTCCACCTACATCTCTACGTCCCAGTCGGATCGCTACCCCACCCTCCTCTCCCCTCCATGCTATCTTCCGCTTGTGTGACTCTCTCCTGGTTTCCTAGACCGTAGTCATGGCTTACAAGACTTGCATCCATTAAATCACCCTCTAACCTCATTCCCTTCATTACTTTCTCACTCAAAATATCCATATCTGTATCCTCAGAGTCTTGTAAACCAATCGTAGTCCGCTCCACTACAACATCCTTGTCTCCCGACCTAGGGGACTTCTCAGACTAGGATTGGAGCGTCATGGGGTCCGAAGCCCCCGTTCGCCGATTCGCGTTTGAAGCTGTGGGCTGGGCTTCTACGTGCGTGTGTGAGCATATACAATGCACCCCGACGAGCCCGACGATCGACATGCGATGCGGGATCGCAATGAATAGCCTGTATGTGGAGGCACGGATTTAGCGTCCGAGGAATTGCGTCGATGTGACATTGTTGGAGGCAGACAGGCAGGCAGGAAGGCCTCAGTGTTCAGCTTCCAGCTCAGCGGATTAACCGTGATGGTTGGAAAGATTGGATGATCACTCGTAGCCTAGCCTTAACAATTCCAGCCCACGAAACTTTCCGATCCGTAGCTGTGCTTGTACTTATGCCTTCGTTCACGTGAAAAGGAACAAACTCATAGAATCACTCAACTCAGACCGACTTGCCCAGATGAATGCAGACCTCGTGAATCTTGGAAGACAAAGTGTTGAGTCTTGGAACGCCAATCACAGCTTCTCCGCACCCGTGGAACAGTAAGAGCGAATTGAAGCTGCTCAGTAAGAGCAATCATAGGACAGTGGCGCAACTGTGAACATGTACCTACTCATGATCCCGAAATGGACTATCCGCATTTGAAAATCGTGTTCAGATCTCTCGATCCACGAATTGGACGCAGGACTCTGTGGAGAAAGCATTAGGCTATTTCATGCGAGGGTATCTTTCTGCAGAATCTTTTTGAAATTGAACTCGTGAGGTATGGGACGAGTGACTGAGAGATTGGACGTAGATGGATGAAGAAAATAAAGTGCAAATATGAAGATCCAAAATAATCCAATTGACGCAATGAAGACGTGCCAGAGTCTTGTAGGCCCAACCACCTTACCCAATACCAAGAATTCGTTGCCCTCAATCATTAATCCATCTTAATATCACGCCCAAACACCTGCCCTAGGAAGTAGAAGAAGGGAAGATGTAAAAAACCATAAAATATGTACATCAATGCTGAGCGGCCAACGGTCGTCCTTCCTTACTCTGAACAGGACCCTGTGCCTCGTCCTCAGACATGAGACCCTCGAGCTCGAACTCTTCCGCATCTCGTACTTGCCTATCAACTCTTGCATGGCCATTCGGCATCCCGTTGGCTCTGGGGGCTTCGGCATCAGACTTCGAGTTCATGCCCCATGCGTGTACAGCGTAGAGATGGAGGAGCATGTTGACGACTGGCGATGTGGTTAGCATACAAGTAGAGGTACAAAAGGGACAAATACTTACAAAGAAATAGGAGGAAGGAGATGCTGTATAGAATGAGGACGTAAGACACGTGGCTTACATGGGCGTCAGAGAGAAGTTGCATCTGCTCTTCTGTGGCGCCCATGAACAAGAAGCCGGACGCATATAGGAGCTTGCATTTCATTAGTTCCCGTCCTAGACTTAGACTAAGAAGCGACTTACGAATGGAGGCAAATACTGGAAGCTGCTCGGGTCGGAGCCGTCAGCGGTCGTGGCATTTCGATCTTTCAAAACGAAGGCAATTTCAATAATGCGAGTGACGCCGGCAGCCATCAGCGTGTAGCCAAAAAGGGTGTGAACTATGTTCGACAGAGGCAGCGTCTGGGGATGGGCCGACATCCCGTAGCCAGTGAGCAGGATAACAATTCCGGGAATGAGATTTCGCTTCGGTCTTCCGTCTCTTGTGCGGCTTAGCCAGATGCCAACCAAGCCGGCACACCACCAGATGATACCCATAGAGGTATGTTGTAGGTCATTGTGAACCCATGGCCCGCCCCAACGATGTTCCGTGAAGGTATTGACGCATCCCCAGGCTGCAATGACCAGCGAATCGAAGAATTCTTGACTCCGTCCGGATCTCCGAAGCCAAAGTTGCCCTACGAGTAGCAGGATGGTAAGAATAACTCCGTATGCGATAAATGCTCCTCCCATAATGAAATGGGCCAGGCATTGTCCGGTATGGTCGCCGCGGCAGAAGCCCAGGGCCGTAATACCCCCAAAGACGAACTGGGCCCATGTCACAATGGGCATGAGTTTGCCAACAACGCCATGTCCCTTGACAACAATCTTCCGTATTTTCCCATAGATTCCTCGTTCCAAGTGAAGCTTAAGATACACGCCCATTGCCACCTGGATTATGAGCAGAAGCATGATGATCGGGACGAACTTCGAATGTATGTTTGACGCAAATTGCCGCCCTTTGTGGCCATGTCCGAGGAAGTATCCCACTATTGCGAGGACGGTACCGGTGGTTTGAACGGGAACATGCCATTTGGAGCGGATTATCTACCGCGAATTAGTCCATGGCGATCCTCAGGCTCTCAAATCGGCATAACATACCCCTAAAACCATTCCCGTGGGGAATAGCACTCCCCAAGCCAGCGCCTGCACCAAAATATGGATCCATAGTATTGAATCCTAAGGAATCCGTTAGCATTCACCATCGACTCCCTCTACGCAGCGTCTGCCTCAACATACAATCGGATCTCCGGAAATAGACTGGCCCTCCTCGATGTTGTCCATGTGGTGCTCGTGTGCCCTCGCCCTCACTGCAAATGTGAGGAGCAACAAGACGAGGGCCGCACCTCGCGACTTTATCCCGGCCTCAACCATGTTTCCGTTCGATAGGGCGTCAGTTTGTCGAGACTGGTGACGACAGAGCGGTGGTGACTCCGACGTGGAGGGTTTCAGGCAGTGAAAAGCATCCAGAGAGGGGTATGGGACCGAGAAACAAAGCGTCGAGTGGATAGGAGGCGCAGGTTGTTTCAGTGAAAGCCCAACATTCATGCGGTCGTGATTGCCGCTTACGTGAACGGAAGGCACGGAGTTCTTGGCGGCCGGTACTTCCGAGACTGGTTCGCCGAAGGATGACGACTGCGTCTTCGCAAGCTCCAACACCAAACCCTTGAAATGGTTCTCATGGCGGGCGTCACGGAGGTTCCTGACTCGGAAGACGAGTTTATGACATCCTCGCCGGTTGTAACCTCCATCTCTGCTGACAGGCTTTCTCCCGCCAAAGACGATGCTCTCCATGCCAAAGACGCGTTCGAAGCGTTCGGTGACGATGTTTCAAGCATCGCCTTAAAACAAGTTGAAAGCTTGAATCAAGCTCAAGCAAACATTTTCGCGAATATCGATATATCTAGTCCTACCCATTCAGCTGACCTACAGTCTAACGAACCTCCCTTACAGCGGCGCGAAGCCAATCCCGGCAACATAGAGACTGTACAAGAGTTGGAATGTATGCAGGTTGAATATAGTGTTACGGAACGAATTGAAATTCTAGATCCAGCTGTACGCAACTCGGAACAGAAAATGTCGGAGCGAGTTGCAAATGCAGAAGTTATGGAATTCGTGCACCCAATTTCACAACCAGGTGATAACGATGGAGGAACAGCAGACAGCTGTGTGGTCTCCGTGGACAGACCAATTCTCACTGTACAAAAGTCGGAATCTACCGCGGAAGACGAAAGTGCCAAGCGGCAGACTATTTCGCCCGACAATGAAGATACAGCATCCATGTTGAAGGATCTGCCATCTCTCGAGGATAAGAGGACAGTATCCCAACAGGAAATCCGGCCTTTGAGGCATTCTCACCTCCCAGTCGACGCAACAAAATTGACTGGTGGAGAATTAAGTTTTCGGCCACCACATCAAGAGTCCGACAGAGGGATGAAGGAGGAAGTAGAAGCGGCGATAGAGAAAATCCATAGCTCGGATGAACGGTCGCTCAAAGATGTTGAGATGGCAGATGCTGGCCATGAGGGAAGGAGGACTCCTCAGCCCCAGGTATGTCTGTTCTGACTTTTACGTCCCCTGAAACTGACTCCCTGGTAGATTGACCCTAGCAAGGATCCTTCACGGCGAGATGAAACCAATTTGACTGAATTGACGATACCTGCGTTGAATGCGTCCTCTCAGGAACACAGTTTATGCGGTGATGGCAATCGGGGCACTAAACCCACGACTAAAGCGACAACGGCACAGGATTCACAGCAGCGTGGGTCTACTAGCGACATATCGACCCGCGAGTCTGATAGTGCAGCTAAATTAAGATCTCTGCTGGAACCAAATGGCTCTCAAACGCAGAATAGCCCTCCAAATACCACCAACTTACCAGAACCTCAACCCCAACCGGAGTCATCACCTCCAGTCAAACCCGGCTCCCCACTCAAATCCTCAAGCCCTTCAAAATCCTCCCAAGACCTTGAAGAGCTCCGTGCCCACCGAGGTACCCTCATTGCGTCTCTAGCTGCCCTCCCAAACATACAGGACGCTATCGCGAAAACCAATGCATCCTCCACGGCGTCTTCACCTTCCACAGCCGAACTCACCGATGCAGAGGTTATGGCAGCCGCGAACAAGATCGTCAAGAAGCACATCAAGCTTCTCCATGAGTACAACGAGATAAAAGACGTAGGTCAGGGCTTGATGGGGTTGATAGCAGACCAGCGGGGTGTGAGGATTGTGGAAATTCAGGATGAGTTTGGAATTTGTGCTAAAGACTAAATGTAGTTGAATAGTTCTGTTCTGATAAGACTTCTTTGTTATTTCGATTGCAAACACAGATACCCCTTATGATCGACACATAGGTAGCAAATAGAAGAAAGCAAGCACCTCTCTAATGACAATGAATTCGTTTCCTAAGAGTTGTCTTACATTAAACGAACGATTCAAGAAGAAAGCGGCTAATCCGAGGGTAGGGATCTTATTATTGGCTGTCCAGCCATCGAAGGAAATGTGAACTTGGGTAGACGCGGCCTGAATAAGACTCCTGACGGAATCGGGATGCTTTTCGAGCTTCATATCCAATGACTTTGTGACCATTGGATGGGATGGAATGCTGCCCTTGACACAAGGATTTAGATATTCCAATAGAGCTCGGAATCGTGGGCCCTCCAGTTTGCGAAAAAGATGTGGTCAAAGGCAATCCAATCAGTCAAGAGCTCGTGAAAATGAGTCACATCGAATTCCCTCAGGGCCTTGTTCGAAGTCACCGGGTCGAGAAATCACTGCAAAACCGAAACAGGAGTGGGTTCTCTTTTCCGTTTTAACTTCCTTATTGAGTCGATAATGCTGTGTTTCTCAGTGCGATGATGTTTGTATGATCTTGTGCAGCCGGCGGCGTACTTCTGAGGTTTGTGTCTTTTCCTCTTTTTAACGCAGAGGCGACAAACCTAAAGATTCGCATCCTTCTATAAAATGTAATAGGCGTATTCCCATGTCCAGCCGAACCGCTTGCTTTTGGAGATTAGGTACCCCGGCCGGAAATGTTCGGGAAAGGTATCCCATTCCTGTTTGGTTGGGCCAGAAGAGATGGCTGACTCTTCAGGAACGACGTATGAGTCAATAGAAGGAATACAATGAAAGGGAGTTCCTGGATTAAGCGCACCTCTAGGTGGAGAGCAAGTCGAAATATCGGTTAGAAAGTTGGTCAAAGGCATTTTGGTGGGGATAAGAAAGATCGACGGTCAAAATGTTGTATTAGGAAAGGTACGCGAACACTGTGCCGATGAGCAATGCCGTTCTCTCCTGCACGATGTGGACGTGTTGTTGTGAACGTATTGTTGTGAGATTTCAATAAAATCGCACTATTCTCGTGACGAAGTTGGCTTCTCTCCAAATTTTTCGTGTGTTACGTTTCTCTAGCATCGTGGGTATATTCTATCTGCTCCCAATTCAGAAATCTGATTCGTATCGATAAGAACAAGAAATAGCGATACTGTTACAAGTTGAATGCAGAACGGGAGAAAAGAATTTCAATCTTTAGCTATTTTCTGAACCTATCTACGTTGGACCAAAATGGAAGAAACCCGGAGCTACTTACCCTGCAACATGTCTGCAAATTGATTGAAATATTGAATTGAAGAAAGTTATTCAAGAGCGCAAAGCTTGATGAAGTGATTAACTGATTGACAAGAAACTTAGGTATATTTCAAGATTGCTTCTGCTATTAAATCCTAGTGATTTCATAGTCTGAACTCGATGATCATCGACATTAGAGGAAGAGCTAGGGTCTAGTACAATTTTCGAGGCTTCCGCTCGCACCCTGACTATGGTAGCTTGACTTGTGCTATATTTTAGATTCCCGAGATTAAGATAATCAAGCAGCATTCGTTGATACAGGACTCACGTGACTGTCTATCACGTGTTCAGACTCACCGAGTACCACCTGTGACGGCTTGATATCTCCGCTTTCATAATTAGACCTATCCAAGGGTCAATCCTCCATATTCTTTTGATCCAGTTGGCTCCTGCTACGCGAGGTAAACACACGCACTATCGTGCATCAAGACAAGATTGTATTGATTGCTATTTCTTTCTAAACAGTATTGTATTGCTAAGTATTGCTATAAACTCAATCAATCAATCAATCATTAAACTCTATTGAATTATTCACTTCTATAGTAAAGGGTCAATCAAGGGAGGCTCTCAGGTCGGATACTAGAGACATAATAGTGCTAGATGTGAAATGTTGTTGAATATTTGGGGCCGCGATATTGGAGGATGAGTTTTGCTCGTTTCTCCGAGTCGAGTCATGAGCAAAAGGGACAAAGTAGGCCGCGGGCGTTTTCAAATGGTCAGCAATGTACGCTCAAGGGAGATCCGCTCACCAAAGTCCCTTTCCAAATTTCAATCCTGGGTATACAGAGTATAGAATTGGGCAGTGACGAAACGAAACGAGCTAGTCAAGACCAACCTAAGTATGGAGCCCCAGTTCCGTTGTTCTAGTCAGTTGTCCCAGATCTGGGCCAGCTGAACTCTTGACGCCCAGCTCAGTAATTTGGCCCTGGAATGAATTTCTTTTGTGTTGGCGGCCAAATGTTTCAGCCACATGATTTACTCCGCGATTTCGTCTCTAAGTTGAAGTTATCAGCCTTCAAGTTTAATCTCATGAATTTGGATTGTATCAACTCTTGTGTAGTTTGTATCTAAATTACATGACGACTTTGATAGATGCATGTAGAATTTGTGTCAAACCTGCAGCTGTTGCATCTACATCGGCAGAACCAAATCTAGCCTTTCTGAAACTTATGGGATGTTGAATTACTTATCAGAGAAGAGGTCAGCGATGCAACCTTAAATTTGCTAGGAGAATTGCACGGAGCAGAGGAGGATCCAATTCCAGATTTGCGGAGTGTATCGGTCGACGTGGTATTAAGGCTGGATGCCAAACAGCTTAGGGCTTCAGGCATCAGGCTCTGTCGCACAAGGACTCCAGATCCCAATCAGCTGGTACACCTCGGGAGATATCCTGCCCAACAAGTTAGTAAAGCAGCCTAGACCCATATTCTGGTAAAGCTCAAGATGATAGGTAACTCTATTCAAAACTCTGAGATTCAAGAGTTCTGTGAGAGTCTTGCTGGATTGGTGGCGTCAATCTGACTGACCAAGTCCTTTGATGCAGGGCAGAGTCGGCAACCCAGCACGATCAATGCTAGAGTATTTCCGTACAAGCCTACCGACGGCAGTATCGGAGGTAAAGACTAATGCATGTCTATTGCATCTGGGGGGCATGCTCCCCGCACTACAGTTCCTTCGTCAACAAACAGCCTCGTTCGGTTGAAATATGCCCCAAACTACAGTTCTAAATCTTGTCTTTACAGACTTTCTGTATTGCTTCATGTTCTTACTTCCATCCTGCCGTAGATCGATTATAATAGTTTCGACCAAATTCTACACATGCATTCGAGTCCTTCGTTCTGTCAACGGCAAGCGCTAGCATGCGGACAAATTTTTGGGGAGCGTTTAAATTGCAGACTGTAGGGGGACGGAGATAGGGATCCTTCTTGCGCTCCAATTCAATAAACCTTTTTTAATAGTCAAACTTTGAAATTTCATGCCAGTATAAATTGTTCTAATTACTCCCACTCGTCGACCTTTTCTTTATAGGGATTAGTTGTCGCATCATCAAAATTTTTCAGGATTTCTTGTCCATTAACAGAGTGAAGCTCTTCAAAACCACCTGTGTCCTTCACTAGCAGGATAAAATCTCTTTTAGCCCTCGGTATTGTGAGCAGACCTGAGAGGTTAGGCGTTAAAGACTCTAACTGCTTGAGTGAACTTAGTGGTCGAAGACCTTCAGTAGGTCTAAGCTGATGTGGCTAGAGAGCTCGGTTTGGTCTCTGGGAAGATGTCTTACAGGCGGCACGACGGTGGGGAATACTAAGACAGTATCGGTAGTCGATCTGGCAAGAGTATTGAGGGGTAACCAATGTATTGAGCTAGTAGTGGAGGTACTAAACAAGGTTGAACGCGAAAGTCCTACAGGAGTACCTTCGCCTACTATATATATTCCTGCTGATCACTCTGATAACCGTGATCACCGTGAGCGATAGTTCTGGGCGCGACTATCACATCACGTTCCCGCTAGCTTCGCAGCACCACGCTGTGTCCATACCAGCCCCTTGGTTGGTTACCATTCCCATGACCTCCCATAGAGCGTCCCGGGTGAGTCCTCCTTTTCAGATCGTAACAGTAGGGAATGAAGAATAAGGGAGGTAAACAAGAGAAAAGAGAAGGGGAGAAATGGCGCTGCTGCGCTTGACATAAAGTCAACACCATAGAGTGTCCGGAGATGCCTATTTGCCTAACAGAGCTGTAAGAAATATAGGTAATATAGTTATAAAGACACTAAGAAGTAGTTACTAACTAGTTTAAGTATTTATTCAGGCTAAAGATTTTAACACTAAAAAATAATAATCTATTAACGTGTCTCATAGACAAGGAAACCTTACAGGATCTTTTTATGCACTTTTTTACTAACTATTCAGGTTTTTTTGTTACTTAGCTATAGTTATATATTATTTTTATAACTTTTCTACTTTAATTACACTTTATTAACATTTTAACTAACTTATAACATTTGTTTATTAAGTGTGAGAGTACTGTGTGCAGGAAGCATGAAGCGTAGAAGGAGGTATAGGATAGTATTAATAGACAAATCCTTATGGAGACTTAGGGGTTTAGGAAAGGATATATATATGCACTAGGGTATGTAACAGGACGTCATGTGCCTAAGGCCGGGCTAAGGGCTCTCCGGGGGAGTCTGAGACATGTGTTATTATCCTAAGGAGAGGGCTCGCCAGGAACGCCTGATAGTAGCTCAAGAATCCAGTAACCAACTAAGGACTGCACACGGATGCAGTGTGGCAGTCGTGCCAGACTATCGCTCACGGTGATAGTGCCTACCAGCGTGACGACGATCAGAGTGATCAGTAGGAATATATATAGTAGGCAGAAATCTTCTTACAGGACTTCTACGTTTAACCTTATAAATCACTAGCTTAATACATTAGTTACTCTAATACTCTTGTTAGACATCTTCCTAGAGAACTAATCCAAGCTCTCTAGCCATACCCCCTTGCATCTACCAAAGGTCTTCAACCACTAAGTTCATACAAGCGGTTAGAGTCTTAACAGAATGTCCTAGTTAACTGTAACAATAAGCAACTTGTTTTTTATACAAGCACTATATTATATGCTATCCGTTAAGCGACTTTACTTAGCTACTAGTTCTAGTTATAAAAAGTTTTTTAGGCTTATTGCTATTAGCTAAGATATAATTTTGCTTATTAAAAAGCTAAACTTATTAAAATTCTATAATTATATTTTTTACGCTTTAAATAAGTGCTAGGTGTTTAGAAGTAGCTTACTAGTAATTATATAGACAGCTTTAACCCTTTCTTAGCTTTATGTATAACATGTTTCATAAGTAAGCGGACCACCTAAATGAGCAGACTAGCAAACCCTGCAAATATTCTCTTTCGACACCGCCTAGAGTATAACACCGTCAAGCAGCGCATTCTCTTAAGAGGGGAGAAGTGCATATCTCTAGCAATCATTTCCGCCACCATGATGAACCTGCAAAACTCAGGGGAAGCAATGTGTTTAAAGTAGAAAAAATGGTCTCTGTATGTCTTCTTATTGCTCTCTAAATTATTGCTGGCTGAACTGTTGGCCAGATTCAGCATGGTATTGTGATTGACGCCAAATAGTTTGGAGTCCATTCTCCTACCTCCCCTGTCAGCTACATTACTTCATACATGAGGCAAGACTCCTTCAGGCGAACTAGGGTGAACCATTGGAACTTCCTGAAGAAGAATTATCTTGCTTTACACCGTTCTGCCATGGTTTTACGCTCATCCTAAGGAAATGGGTGCTCATTGGAGTAACGTTCATGAGAGAGCCTGTTTGCAGTAGCCACGCATGGCTCACACGATAGTCGCATGCATTCTCACGATGGCCTTATGTTGCTAAGACTTACCCTTTTTTTGCACATATATAGACCCCTAGGTGCACTCCTCTAGCAATCAATCCAGTTCCTCTCACCTCTGTGCTCCCACAAGCTTCACAGAGCCGATATACGACGATGCTGCTTTCGGGCCTCATGCTGCCCCAATGGATGGAAGAATTGATTCTATCTCTCGTACAAGGTGATATCAAATTCGCTCCGACTTCAACAATCTCATCCGGAGGAAGGGAAAGGGCCTCATAATCCTTCTGCATGGAGAACCAGGCACTAGCAAGACACTTATCGTGGGTGAGCCAATACATCTTCATGGCCAGGGGAGATCCTAGTAACTATATTATAGAAAGCATAGCAGATTTCACTCGTCGACTTCTGTATGCTATTAGTTAGCCGCGGTGATCTTGGGCTAGCGAGAGATAAGGTCGAGAAAACTTTCACTCAATCTCTTCAACTCACCATTAAATAAAAAGCTCTTGTGCTCATCAACGAAGCAGACATTTTATGGAAGAAAGAAGCAGCAACGAACTGAAGCTGAACGAGCTCGTGTCTAGTATTCTCCCTAGACGCTCCACATATCCCTTTTCCTTCACTTCACAAACAACGATATACTTTCTAGCCCCAAATTTCCCCTAATGCTCGCCTGAACCCTCGGAAACCTCGAAGGTATAATATCTCTCACCACCAACCTTGTCGGCTCCATCGACCAAGCCTTCAAATCCCGTATCTACCTCTCCCTCTCCAACCCTCGTCTCAACCCGCAAGCTCGCCGCCGCATCTGGGAAAACTTCATCAAGAAGGGCTTTTCCGAGTACCAGCTACGATGGGTGAACAATAAGTTTCTAGACACGGTGGCCAAGGAGGAAATCAGAGCGCTAAATCCAGAATATCGCCGCATGGCATATGCACTTGCTGTTAACGCAATGAGAGGTGCAGCCGGAGGACATCACGGTGGGACTAGAGGCGCTAAAGGATTTTGAAGTTAACTTTAGTGAGGCGCAGGATTTGAAATGGAGGGTCAAGATCGTGCACTGGAATTGGGGGTGCATTTGTATAGATTTTGTATAGATTTGGTGTTGCTGCCGGTCTGGTTCTGGCCTTCTTCTCCTTTTTACTTGTGACAAAGGCAGAAGGACGATTCGAGATAATGGATGTACTTGGATTTGGATTGTTGTAGTGGCTGAATTGGGAAAGATGATCTACCCCTTTCTTCCCATATGTCTAGGTGTGTAAGCGTACTTAACCCTGCTCACTAACTTGATCCACTCCACATATCCCTAGAATGTAAAGCATTCAGCCGTGGATGGGGGCCTATTACATTGTCATCCCAAATAGCACGAGACTCCCAGGGGCATTTAGACTCAAAGCCGATATTTGGAGTCATATATCATCGAGAAATCGCCAACCTTTCCATTCCCATGAGATCTTGCACCCACCCACCATCTCCCGCCTCTCCAGTACCATTAGCCCCCATCCTGCGCTTCAAATGCATGTTCAACGCCTTAAGTCCACGTGCGCCACTCGTAAGGATGCGATAATGGTACCCCGTGGATCTGTCCAAGGCCTCTTCCAATCCATCGCTATGAATGTAGTACTCCTCATCGATCCTAAGATATGAAGGATAATCGAACTGTACAATCAATCCTGGTAGCCCAGTGACATTGGCAAGTTTCAACTGCATAGGAAACCGCTTCTTGGGGGTTGGATCGAACGGGATGAAGTTGGAGAGGTGGTCGTTTTCTGAGATGAGGTCTTTCAAGGATGATGTTATCTCGGGATGGCATAGGCTTAGTCTTCGTCGTAGATAGACGGATTGCGGTAGGCGTGGTAATGGCACTGGTACTTACAGTCATGATTCTCCAACAATTGGCATGCCCAAGCTTTGGACCAAGAACTAAGACCATGTGACCGCGTGCTTTGTTTGTGATGTTCGTCTCGATTCCGAAGGCTGTGCAGTCCGCTGCGGAGCGCACCGTGTAGATGCTGCCTTCGATGATGCGGCGACGATGTTGCGTTCGCCGGGTCATTGCTTCAGAGGCAGGACGAATATGATGTGTAACGTGTGAGAAGTGTCGATGAGGGCACCGAACAAAGGAATGGCTTAAGAGTCAGTATTTCAACTTGTCGGTGCCTTCAGTGCAGTGAGTGGATGGCGAGGCTGAGCTGTGGCGCAGGAGGCGTTGTTGACTGAGCGTCGCACCAGCCACTGACCTTGGGAATTCCACAAAGATAGAGGAAACCGAATCACACCATATACAGAAATGCATTCGCAAAAGTCGTGCCATTATCTCACCACGGATCTTAGTCCCGTCATGTACGTGGATACACATTGACCCGAAATGCTTGTGAACACCAACCGGCAACCATCCAACTCGGACCGACAACTCAATCACTCCTCGCACGACAACGTCAGTCTCCAAACCACAAGTACAATACCTCAGAGCACATCTCTTTGCAGGTATACCAATGTTTCTATATCCTACCTTCCCTAATACCCCTCTCAACGCCCGTAGCAATCGTTATAGTTGCCTACCTTCAAGTCTTCAAAAAGCCACCCAAGTGAAGAAATAAAACGAACAAAATCAAACCAAAATCAAACAAGACAAGAAGAAAAAAAGACCATGGCTATAAACAAGTTCCAAGTCGGAGCCAAGGAGCTGGCCTTTACGCTGTCTCTATCTACAGCTGATCTTCTACTCCACAACAGGCTGGCTACAAGGCCTATCCACTCCGCCTTGCAACTTCTAGAACAGAAGTTTGCTGTCCCCTACAGAAAGAAAATGTGCAATAGAAATGAATACCAAGCCTGTCAACCCAAGAAAGATCACTCAGATCTCAACTCTCGGAAGTAAGACATTACTCCCTTCTCTCCCTGTCTCCCTCTACCTCCACCAATTTCGGCTGCCTCTCATCAAAAGCCTTCTTCGCTTCCCTCTCCAAACTCTGCAACTCCCCACTCGTTTCACACATCGCCCTAAAGCTCCCTCCCTCCCTCCTCACTAAATCCCAGGGATCCCCAAACTCCACCACCTCACCTTTGTCTAACAACAACACTTTATCATAATCAATAATTGTCTGCAACCGATGCGCAATCGTAATCGTCGTATTCCTTATCTCCCTTATCGTCTCCTGAATCTTTGCATCGGTCGCGTAATCAATACTAGCAGTCGCTTCATCCATTAGTAACACTTTCGGCGCTTTCAGTAATGCGCGCGCTAGACAAAGGAGTTGCCGCTGGCCTTGCGAGAGATTAGAGCCCGATTCTGAGACTGGAGAATTAAGGTTGCGGAACGCGTTTTTGTTGTCGGCTTGCATGGTGCCTTGTATAGTTGCTGGGCCGGGGACTGCAGTGGGGTTGCCGTTGGGCATGGTGATGACGGCATCGTCGATGGTTTCGCCACGACTGAACTGTGAATTTCCGAGGATGGAGCCTGGATTGGTGGTTGAGGCGGGGACGCTAGCTTTGACGTCGGCGTTGGCGGCAGCGGCGGACATAACGGGTTCGGGGATCTCAATAGCGCGTGGTGTGCTAGGTCCTTCGGGGCTAGTGGCTACGGAATTGGCTTCTGAGATCGTGGATATGAGATGTACTTCCCGGAGGGCAGTGTAGATCTCTTCGTCGGTGAAGAGCGAGAAGGGGTCGAGGTTGCTGCGGATAGTGCCAGTAAAGAGAGTTGGATCTTGCGGAACCATGACGATATTCTCTCGCAGATCTTGTAGACCAATTAATCCAACATCAACATCGTCAACAAGAATCTTGCCCTCTTCCGCCTCCAAAGCACGGAAAAGCGCTAACGCAAGTGAACTCTTTCCTGCACCAGTACGTCCCACGACGCCAACCTTCTCACCAGGGCGGATCTTGAACGTGATTTTCTTCAAGACCAGATCAAAATCTGGCCTGTATCTCGTGCTGTAGCCGATAAATTCAACAGCGCCGTGAGCTGGCCAATTGGATGGCGGCCGATTATCCTCAACAATGGGAGCAGCCTCTTGTTCTACGTCAAGATACTCCTTGATACGCTCGACCGAGTTCATATTCTGCTCATTGGCGGAGTAGAGTCTAACAAACCACAACACATTCTCGGTGAATGTGACGGCATAGGTCAGGGCTAGACCAGCCGCGCCGGCATCAATGACCCCGACATTACGAACCACGAAGACACCAGCGAAAAATGAGACCATTGCGCCAACAACATCTACGCGGAAGGCCAACCATCGGTTAGCAGCCCAAAGGTAGATGAAGGGTCTATGCTGAGTATTGATCTTGTGGACGTTCTCGCGGATAAACCTTCTCTGGTCTCCGTAAGCTCGTATCGTCGTCATGCCGGATAGGGTCTCTCCAAATTGCTGATACAGAGGGCTTCGGTGAACAGACTCCAAGCGCTTTAAATCTCTCGAGGAATTAATATAGAATCGCCCAATTAGAGTGTAAAGAACAGTAATGAATACGCCAGCAATCAGGAAGCCAGGAGTGATGACGGAAATTAGAATAACGATGGTAATGATCGAGGCAAGACAGTGGACAACACCTATGGCGACGGGAGCAACTTCCTGGTCCACTGATTCAATGTCCTTAGAGAATCGGTTCATAAGCTGGCCGAGCGGCGTCTGATCGAAAAATCGGAATTTGGCGTGAGTAACAGCTTCAATAAGCTTCTGGTGGACCCTGTAGGATGCAGCGAGAGACCCTCCGAAAAGAAATCCTTCTCGAAGGAAGGTAATGAACATGAAAACGAGCCCAAGGATAGCGTAGACAGCAAGGAAATACCCGGAGTCGACTTCGGAATTCGTGGTCGTGAAGCCAGCATCCATCAGGTTGTATCCGTGATGTTCACGGCCGGGTTGAGAAAGGAACGGAATGTTCCAACTGCAAGTACCACTAGATAGACAAGTTCCTAGACCGCTAAGTGCAGGAGCATGAGTGACTGGGGTTCGGTGATGGTATCCTAAGTACTGAACACGCTTCTCTGCATACGCATTTGCCCACGTCCTAATCCAAACGTTGGTGGCGACTGAAGAGCCTTGTTGTGCAGCGAAGACGAATGATGCGCCAATCCAGTAATACCACGGGCCCATTGCTCGGAGATACATGATGATGAGACTAAGCTTAACACCTCCCTCGGCCTTGGTTTCCCCCTGGGTATTGCTTGTTGGTATTTTCTTGGGATCAGCTAAACCGTTTGTGTTGCCGTTCGCATTTCCATTCGCACTACTAACTTCACCTACTGCTTCTTCGCCACCGACATCAGACGGAACTCGCGATGGAACTCTCGATGGGCCTCGTGAAACCGGTCCGGACTTAGAAAGGTCTTCGGTAAGCTTTCCGGAGTTTATCACTTCGGTTGGTGTACCTTGGGCAGTAATCCTGCCATTGTCCAGAACCACGGCAAATTCGGAGTGAGGAAGGCAAAGTCCGACGTTGTGTGTAACGAGAATGGCGGTTCGGTCGTACATGAGTGGGCCCAGGAGAGCCTGATCGAAGATCCACTTGGCGGTGTGAGAGTCGACAGCGCTGAGAACATCGTCGAGAAGGACGTGGCGAGCCTTGCAATATAACGCACGGGCAAGGGATATGCGCTGCTTCTGGCCTCCCGATAGAGTGACACCTTTCTCGCCTACGATGGTCTGATCACCTGCATCAAGGATTTCGAGATCTCGTTGCAGGGAGCAAGCCACGAGGACATCCTTGTACCTCTTCGCATCCCACGCACTTGCGAAGACAATATTTTCCTTAACAGTGCCGTTAACGAGCCAAGGTTGTTGGGCACAGTAAGCGATGCTCTCTGTCAGACCGGTCTCAGGGTCAATCTTAAGATCTTCTCGGCTACTGCCTCCCGGCAGGTACACATCTCCTTTCAGTTTGGTCATCTCGCCAAGGAGAGCCATGAGGAGTGAAGTCTTTCCACATCCAGTAGGGCCAACCACAACATTGAGCTCTCCCACTTTGAACTTGATATCAAGATCCATGAGCTTGAATGCTTCAGCCGTAGCTTTGTCTTGCATGTCTTTTCCGCCCCAGGCAAAGGTGCCGTTTTCGAATCCAATGATAGGCTCGCCATTGTCGTCCTTTTTATGTGTCACAAGTTGTGAGTACTTGTCAGTTTCCGGCTCATTTAAATACTCCTCGATACGATCTACAGATACTTTTGATTCCTGAACGTGTGCAACCATGTCCGCGAGCTGATCGAGGGGAATCCTAAGGATCTGAAAGAGTGAAAGGGCGGTAAATGCGACGGACGGAATGAGATCCTTCTTCTCGACTTTGGTGTATACCAGGAATGACAGAAAAGTAATCAAAACAGGCGACCCAGACCAGATGGTCGCTGCAAAAGCCCAGAGAATATATCTTCGCCTCAGATACTTAAGTTCGGTATACCTTTTTTCATTCACTTGGCCGATGAAGCGCTGCTCCCAAGCAAAGTACTTGATAATGCGGATATTGCTTAGGACCTCATTGGTCGTGTGTATTCTTGCATCAGTAGCGGCCAGAATCAGTTTCTGGATTTTAGCAAATTGCTTTGAAACGTAGAGATTGATGGGCAACAGCACGACCATCATTCCAACACCCGCAATCGAGCTGTAACCAAGGATACGATAGAGAAGAGCGACAGCTACGATGACTTGAACAGGAGTGTTTGCCCACAGGAAGTGAAGATATGCACAAATTTCGCTGACCTTAAATGCATCCACGGCCATGAGATTGATGATCGCCCCAGTGGTAACTTGAGAATCGGATTCCGGCTTCGGCGCTTCCTCCTGCTTTGGACCCTCCGTTGCTTTTTTCTTTTTCCGTCCAAAAGTCATCATTCGCTTGAGGCGTCCGAGTTCGTTGTTATCCTCCGACTTCTTTCTCTCCTCACCCAGAACCTTCTCTGCACCTGTGCATACCCTTCGCTTCAACGCCTTCGCGTAGATCTCGCCAATAATGACAGCACGCAGCCGAATGCAGATTTTCCGACCCAGCCACAACGCCTGTCCGTCAGCGAGAGCGGAGGCGCACCCTGAAACGAAGAGGAGAATGACATAGAACCATGCAGCGTTTTTCGGAGTGAGCTCGGGCTCTTCCACATATTCTAGAATCGCTTTGAGGAGGAGTGTAGGCGCAAAAGTAAGGAATCCAGATAGGACCGCCCAGCTAGCTTGAATCAAGAGCCCTCTTTTGAAATATTTCAGGAGGTGCCAAGCCAATATTGAAGTCTTCTTCACTTGTCGATAGTTCGCGATCACGGCCCCTGCCTTGTCTCTTGGAGGTAGATTCCACACATCGTCAAGCTCGTATGTTTTCCTGAATCCTTTCCATACAATAGCATCCACCCATCCAAACGTAGCAAGTGAGAGAACGCTAGCGATGGGTTCTCGGGCCGGTTCAATGTCCCCTTCGTACTCCAATTCAACCGCCTTGTTGCCCTTTCGAGAGGTCAATGCAATGGTAAGAAGGAGCGTTATCAAGGCAAAATCCACGATTGCAAACTTTTGAGAAAGGGTTGACCGAGGATGTATGATGGCAGAACGAAAGATGAGGATTGCGAAACACCACTGGAAGCCGTAAATGAAGGCAGTGTGATACCACAATCGGGGAAAGGACCACTTGTGGGTGCTCGAAAAGAGCAGTCGTAACGACGCTAGGGTGGCGATGTATGTCCAAACGGCGATGCTCGAAATGGCCGCCGTCCGGCCCTTGTGGCCCCACGCTTCCGTGAAGAACACGGCAGCATGTACGCCCAGCTCCGCCAGCACAGCCAGCTCTTCCAGCACCACCACTGTAACCTCGCCTCGCGGTTTATTTACGGCCATGGTTGACATGGTCTGTCGACTGATGGTCGGGTGGAGAGCAAGGTGCTCGCTGCGCTCGAACTCATCGTCTTCTTCAGTATTGCTCCCGTCGTCGTCATTGTACTGCGGGGTGCGTGGCGACCAACCATGCTGGATGTCGCCCAGGGCAGTATATGCATGGTAGCGTTTTGACTTTTTGGCTGCGTAGTAAACCTGTATCGAAAGATAAAAGAGGGACACCCCGCAGACGATGAGGGGGAATAGTGTTTGAAGATAGCTGCAGATAAGTTTTTGTGTCAGCAATAATAGTAAGAGCGGAGGAGAACAGAACCTACTCGTGCTCGAAGCAGGGTGAAAAATCATCGGCACCCCATATCGGGGCTTTGCAATGGGCGACCATGGCCAACCACCAAGAGCTCCGAGTTGTGGTGAAGAGTTTCTCATAAGAGGGTGTTCGGGCAATTGGTCAGGGGTGGGATGCAGGAGACATTGAGAAAGACGAAGCCTAGGGGCGTGCGGACGGGTAAACAAACAAAAGTTTGAGGAGCGGGAAGGTGAGCGGCGTTGAAAGATGAGGCGCCACTTGACTGAGTGCAGATGGTGAGCACTGTTGAGCACTGTTCACGCGATATGGAAACGGTAAGCGCAGATGATGTAATTCAAGATGCACGGGCCACCAAACGCTCGGCTAGCCGACTTGGCTGCGGCAATCTTCCAATCTGGCGGGGGGGGGAGGACGGGAGGTTGGCCTTTTCACCTGTCAAACGATCTCGCGACTCACAGAAGTGAAGCAGGTCGCCCCTTCATATGTGCAGTTCCCTAGGGTGTTCACCGTTCGGATCAAGCTTTGCCGGGTCGACCACGCTCACCGCTCTGAGTCACAGAGCTGGAACTGTTAGATGGAGCTTTCCAAATGCTGCAGATACGCCTGCAAGCGCTCCGCATCAATCACCTTCCGGCACGGCTCATCCAGCGTAGCGCAGATCGGGTTTTCTTCGTCTGTGACTCGCTCTGCTCCATGCAGGGTACAACCCTCGTCTTGCCTCCCACTTTGCCCCTTCGCACGACGCTCTGAAGAGTCCTTGTGAGCACACTGCTTCCAGTCTCCTGTTGGGGTGAGCCTCTACCGATGGAACCCGCAAATGTCAGCAGCCCCCAGATGGATCTGGGTAGCTCCCACCCCAAAACAAATCAGTCTCCGCCCTTTTCTCGCCCAGATCCCGGGATCTTGCAATCTTCTGATCTTGCAATCTTCTGATCTTGCAATCTTCTGATCTTGCAATCTTCTGATCTTGCAATCTTCTGATCTTGCAATCTTCTGGGTCATCTGCTTAAGCCGGGCGTGAAGAGCATTCACCCACGGAATGACGGTGGGCAAACTACTGGCAAAGACACTGAGAGGTCAACGAGGCTTCCTCTCATCTTGCCTAGCATTTGGACAATCGGCGGGACTTGTGCAGCTATCATGAGCAAAAAAGGGCGTCCTTCCCCCGCATATCAAATGTTCGAGCATGCACCTTTGGGGAAGGCAAAGGACAGGGGTCTTCCACCACAAGCGTTTCTGAATGGTGGCTAGATGCGCACACAAATTCTAAAGCATCCAGCTGCGTACAGGACCCTGACACCCGCACATGTCCCATGTTTCGCAGTTCCAGCCACCGGTGCACATTGCCCAGAAAATCCCGAGTCAATTGGTGCGGGGAATAATTCAAACTCTTTAGTCGCTCCAGTCTCACCATTTTAGATAGACGCATGTCACCGACGTAGCTTAAATGTGCGCCCAAACTTGAGGAGTTTGTTTAGAGCTAAATGCTAGCTCGGGGACCTTAACCGACGTGATTCGTTAGAGAAGGCTAGCAGCCCGAAACAAATGCACACGAAACCACGTGTTGGCTAATACCAACCTGATCATTGGACTTGTGCGATCAAGAGATGCTGGATAAATTGTTTGTATGTACAGTGACTGGCTTAGGAAAGAGGCTGGTGTTTACTGTCGAGCCTTCACAACTGGCGCCCAGGCGGCATACTTGTTCTTAGTTCTGCCACAGAATTAGTATGAGTGTCAACCGCGGCAGATACAGAAACCGTACGTGCTGTATGGCTTGTAGCCCGATTGACTCCACGTCAATGTCGGTCGGTGCTCCTTTGGCTCCCATTCACGAACTTGCCGCTGGAGAATGGGGTCTTGGGTAGGGGGCTTGTCGACCGCGTAGGAGATCCAGGCATGCCTAGAATTATGAGTACAGCACAAAACGAAACCAGCAAGTTAAGCATACCAGCCAGGCTCGATTTGGGACCTACGTTTCACATTAGTCACACATCCGAAGGGAGTCCGCGGGCAATGACTTACGGGTCAAACTCTTGTTCTTTGTAGTCTACCCATCGAGTTCTCACTGCCCCCCGGATATCAATCGACTCTCCCAATCAAATGCAGGCTGCGGAAAACTCACGGGGGAGCTCCTCTTCCAAGTTCTCATAGTATTTGTTGCCAAATTGGTCCTTTGCAATGAAAGTTCCGGCTTTGGTGTCACCTGCGTGGGGTCAGCCTGTCTACTCTTCGACCGCTCTTTGTCATTCTACATACCGATGTTCTACATTTCCGAGCGATCGCGATTAGCCACGAAGGCGAGGGGGGTCAATTGCGTTGGTGGAGAGACATACCGCAAGCTGGTGGCAGTAATCCTGTAGAAATCACTCAATTAGCGTTGCTATGACGATGGAAGCTAGATATAGCTCACCTTGATTCCTACCCTGCGAAGATTCCTCAGCGTCCTTAGGAGGGTCGACATGGTGGGGTGGTGGGTGTTCGGACAAGGTGGGTTGGAGCTCTGTCGATAATGAGACGGCCCTGCCAAGACATGCCCTAAATTAGACTAGCTCCAAATATCCGTACCCGTCGCGAAGTCCAACGTCAAGAAATTCACAAGAGTGATATCACTTGAGTCCCACACATTTCAATCAGTATGATAGTAAGAAGCTTCGCTGGACCTTCAGCGTCGAAAAGGATTTTCACGTGTACATTTCGCAACCCCAATCGTAATTTCCAAGCTTCGCGGAAATTTTCGACAGCAAATGCGACATCAATCCCTACCTCAACTCCACAGTCTCAAGCTTCGATGCTTGCAACAATAACAACGGACTTGGATAAGATAGCGCCGAGGTTTGATCTACAGCCTGAACAGATTCAGATCTTGAAGACTCCTACCGAGTTCTATGAAACACTCAAGGTCAGTTCACCCTCATGAAATCGCTGCATGTGCTTTCTCTCTCTTTCCATTATCTATCATTCTCTCTATTCGTACCATTTACTTGCTATAGCTTTCACTCAATAAATCCGTGTGGCACTGATTCTCTTCAAAAGCCCTTTCCCTTTTCCTAGGCTTGCTTCTCCTGCCCTCGAACCTTTCTATGCGTGCTTGAGCCGTTTCAAATTCATCGACTATCTTTTTATTTTCATAACTCTGCCTAGCTTTTTTCGTATGAAATCGCACATTGCCTATCCTAAAACCCCCAACAGCACAAAATCTCCAAAGCCCAATCCCGCATCTACCTCTCGACCCTCTACATCGGCAAAACCGAGCACGAACTCATCTCCACTATTCGCACTGCCCTGCAAAACAACCCCCAACTCTGCGTCTCCTTTCTAACCGACGCCCTCCGCGGCACCCGGGAGACTCCTCACCCGTCATGCGCCTCCCTTCTCGCCCCTATAATTACCGAATTCGGCGAAGACAGAGTCGAAGTGCGAATGTTCCACACGCCGAACTTGACCGGGTTTAGGAAGAAGTTTTTACCAAAGAGAATTAATGAAGGATGGGGATTGCAGCATATGAAGCTGTATGGGGTAGATGATGAAATTATTATCTCTGGGGCAAATTTGAGCACAGATTATTTCACGAATCGGCAGGATCGATACCATCTTTTCTCCGATGCGGATCTGACATCATACTTCCATAAGATACATTCGGGTGTCTGCGACCTTAGCTTTTCAATTCAGCCATCGAACTCCCCCGCTGGATACACCATGACCTGGCCAACATCCAACGCGGCACCCTCCCCACTCACCTCCCCCTCCGCCTTTAAGAAGATCGCAGCAGCCCACCTGGCACCCCTCCTTACCCC